TAAAATAAAAAAAATAAAATACTTCAGGTATCTTTTTTCTTGGTAATAATATCTGCATTCTCTTCTGAGAGTCATCTTCATTTTCCACATGTTTAAGAACGCCTTCTTCCTCAGCGATGGAGTCTCACTGCGCCCAGTACGATTTAACTGCTGAGGAACGGGGAGCTATTTCTTGCCAACTTGGTCTCCATGCCGTCTTTTTCCATTTTCAAACATGTTTCAATTCTGCGTTGTCTTTCTGATCTCTCTGAAGTTCTTTGGGTTGCCATTTGTCTTTAATCGCAGTGACCCTTAAGGTAGGAGACATCTTCTCTTCCGCATGACAGCAATGTTTGCAGTTTTCAGGACACAGTCTTCTGGAAAGAGCATCCGCATTCCAGTGACTACTTCCGCTCCGGTGTTCTATTGTAAATGCGAATTCTTGCAATCTTTCGATCCATCTGGCAACTCGCCCTTCCGGACTCTTGAAGTTCAGAAGCCACTTCAAAGCAACATGGTCTGTCCTCAAAAGAAATTCTCTGCTGTAGAGATAGTTGTAGAAATGCTCAACAGATTTCACCACAGCAAGTAGCTCTATTCAGGTTACACAGTAGTTGCGTTCTGGTTTTGAGAGTACTTTACTGTAATAGCCTATGTTCCTCTCCTGTCTGTTTTGTATCTGCGATAATACACCTCCAATGCCAATGTTACTTGCATCAGTATAAAGTATATATTTTACTTGAGGTAATGGATAGCTCAATATAGGGGAGTTTAGCATGGCGCTTTTAAGATTTTCGAAAGCACACTGACATTCGTGATCCTATTGAAACAACTGCTTTCCTCTTACCCCATCACTGCATTCAAACACATGTTGATATCACAATATTAGCTCTTCTGCCTTGTGACGTTCTTCCCGAGACAGGTCTTTACAGGCCTGTGTAACCAGGTTCTTCAGTCGTTCTGGAATTTCTTTTGGTAGCGGTTCGGCGTGGATAACATTTCGCAAAACTGAGGACACCGTAGAACAATAACCAATTACTGCCCCTTTCCTTAATTTAACAGGATAATGATTAATGTTCACTATTCTCGCTGGTATTGTTCTATTCACTCTAACCAGTTCTTTGGCTACTAGAATTCCTCGGCCAATGTCTTCATCATGATTTCTGGGTTCCAGGATAACAATCTCCCCAGCTGGAACGTCGCTCTCAGGGCTCGCTTCTATAAACGTCTCGCTATGCTTCGTCAAGATCACGTCATTAGCTGTAATCACATTCACGGCAATGTTATTACGCAAATGCAGAACCACCTCCACTTTGTTGAGTCTCAGTATGCCGCATTGTAAATCCAACTGACACCCATATTTCTTCATGATCTCCATTCCTAAAATTTCTTCTTCTTCAATGTCTGCGACCAGTAGATGACGATTGAAAACTGCAGTTCCAATGGTAAGGAGAGCATCCATCTCTCCAACAACATTCGATGATTCCCCAGTGGCTGTTCGAAGTTTCCATTTGGATGGCATAAGATGACGAGATGACTTGGCAAAATCGGTTCTTATAATGCTCTTATTTGCTCGAGTGTCCAGATGTAAGACGCATGACGTCATGAAGTAAGACCCGGAAGTTTTTCATTGCATCTATGTAAATGCTGTCAGCTCGGTGTCGAATGGACACTACGTGCACTTCGTAAGGTGAGGCTCTTGTTTCATAGGTCGACAGATGCCCCCTTCCATCAACCTGCTTTAGTTTCCCTGCTGGCTGCTGCGTTTATAAACAGGCTTCTCTTCTTGTTGCGTCAATGGACGGTCACATCGGTTTCTCACGTTGAACAATTCTCCACAATTCCTACATCAAGGTTGTCGCCTTTTGATATTAAATTTGTGTGCATCTAACAATCTCTCGATCATTGCCTCAAGGTACTTTTCGTTAGATGTACCTAGATCGGGCTGCAAAGCTCGCACTCGTCCGTCACGTTTCGATGCTTTTTTTTTTTTGCGGCCTCAAAGTCTAGTGCTTGACTTAATGTGTCTGCTAAGGTTTTCGGTCTTGTCAACCTTAATGCCTGTTGCGTTTCTGCATCTTGGATCGCCTCAGTAAAGTATCGGACGGCTATGTGTTCCATTAAACTTTCTGGGGAATCAGGGTTCGAAAGAGGTACCAAACGAGAAATATCAGCTTCCAATTCTTGAAGACTTTCTCCTGGCTTCTGCGCACAGTTCTTGAGCATTGTAAAATACACGTCTTCTAGATGTGTTTGCTGGTAACGTGTTTCGAGTATCCTGACAATTTGCTCGAAGTCCGCCTGTTCTTCAATCAGTATTGTTTCCAGAGCGTCAATGGTGTTACCTGTCGTGGACCAGCCATTTGCTGTTACAGCAGCCTTGAAATGTTTCAAATAATTTGGCCACGGAGAAGTGCCATCAAAAGTAGGTGGTTTCACTCGTCCTTTTCCCAGTGGTTCCCGTACTGTGGTCACTCGTGCCATTCCCTGTGTGTCCTATATGGTTTTCATTAATAATTTTTTCTGTAGGGAAATCGAAAACCTTCAGCTTCTCTTCTAATAGATTTAGTAATTTTTCCTCACTCCTCAGAAATTTCTCTTCAATTTTCTGTACATTTTTTTGAGTCTCTTCAAATGTTTTTCTCCGTTTACGCAAATCTAAAGTGAGCCTATTTGCAATATCTCTGTAAACTAGATAATCCTCTCTCAAACCATACTACTCATACCTATGCCGGGCCCTGCGCTTTGCTCTTGTTTGTCTTTTCGCTTCAAGATTAATCCATGGTTTATCTAGGGTTTTTCTCATCTTGAATTTTGGCAAGGTTTAAGAAGTTGACGTGCCGTGTCGCTAAAATCCTCATAATTTGTTTCGACATCTTGATTTCTAGTCTCATAAATTTGTAGTGTTGGTGATTCGTTCAGATGTTTTTAGTTTCGTTAATTATGTTTGTTAAGTCTGTCATTACAAAAGATAGCATATCCAGGAATATCGATCATAGAGTCGGTGATAACAAAATAATAATTGCACCTCTTTGCCCTGTGACCATACCCATGATACTTAAAACACCTGTTTACATTTAAATCCTCATACACACGGCATCTCTGCCAACCGATGTATACAGTTTTGTTGTTAATGACTTTATGGAACAATTCAGGTTTGATTTCCGAATGAATTATTTGTGTCGATTTCGTTTTGATGTTCTGAATATAAAGAACTTTCAGTCCATCAGCCCAAAGTAATATTGCACAATATTTATGATGGTCCAAGTATTGCTATTAGTTTTGAGTCAACACACTTGTTTTCCTTTCTATACAATGTTAATCACTTGCCCCATCATTTCATTCTGTATTTGTATTTAAGCAATTCATTATAAATTAATCTATATTTCATTCTTTTTGAAGATATGCTAACTATTGAAAAGCCTGTCTCTTGAGGCAAATTGAGTAAAGACAAAATCTTTCTGAGTACCAGTTATTCTATTGAATTTTATTGATATTTTATTAATAAGCATAATTTTCTGTGGAACCTCTAATATATCTTATCAGCTTCACATTATTGCAGCTTGAGGAGTGATGATACATTAATATGTGCTTACAGCTTATTAAACTTGCATTTGATGAAGAGGTGACCGCTGAGAGCATTGAGAGCTTCCGCAAGATGGTACATCGGGTGCGCCATCCAGCGCACATTCTTCACCATTTTGCTTTCATCGGTCAGGCTGCGGTCCCACAAACTCCTTTGCACAAGGGGAAGGAAAAGAATGCAACTCTCAAGTAAGCAATGTGCATAAAGTATTTTAATACTGTAGGATTATATGATAAAACCTCTTAATTACAAAATTGATTATTTATTTATGCTCTAATTTATATTGGAAAGTACCAACACATATGTTAAGGGTCTCCAATTCGACTTAACTTTGTACAATATGTAATTATAATGCTCAGCTGGTGTAATAGGATCTACGCTACCACAATGATCGTTTTCTTTCATGGAAATTTAGTTGCTTTATCCTAGAAGCAGAGGCTGATTCTTCCATGAGGTCCGGAAGTAGTGGAATGTAGACTTTTGTTGCAAGATCCTTGTTTTGCATAATCAGTTTTAGCTATCTTACAGATTAATGCAACTTAAAATTAATATTATCCTTGTCTGTTTTGCCAACACAGAAGAAAAATTTTAAAAGAAGCCACAGACAAAAGAAATTAGGCAAATTATTCTTAATTTATGTTTTAATAGTAAAATATGTCCAAATGAGCATTCATGTTGAAATAGGATTTTTAGGTGCTATAAAATTAGTTTTAGTTTGAATAATTCTAAAATGTATATATATAAAACTTCATTTATTTCAAGGTGCCTGGAAAAAAAAAAAAAAAATCCGCGGTCTACTTATGGTGTAAATGTAAATGTATAGAACCAATTATATTTCCAAGGAAGAAAGTGTTCTTGAATGTATAATTCGTTCTTTTGACTTACATTTATATCATGAGTGTCTGAAATAAATTTAATTTTATTACTTTAACTTTCTTGCAGTGAATTTTTTTTTCAAGTTTACGTGTGATTATAACTACACCCGAGTTACCACTCTGTTCCACAAATAAAAAGTGTAGCATTTCCAAAATGTGACTGCAACTATCACATTTCATTATTTTCCTCAGTAATCGTTCCTGTTGAATTTGAAGTTTATTCATATTGCTTCTTTGTCCAATCATAACTGCAGAGGAGAAAAATATTTCAAGTATGGGGCTAAATGTGTTTTATAAATTATGTATTAAATCCAAATATAAGATGTGTTTTTTTCCTAAATATCTCATTTGAAAAATGTAGGCATTTATTATATTCACAAATTAAGCTTAATCTGTTTTGATTTATACTTTTACTTTCCTTTTCTGTGCCTAGAAGAAACACAAATGCTGATGAAACTGTGTTATAAGCAATAATTAAATTTGTTCAATGAGTTGGTCAAATGGGTTTTGAACTCGGGCCTTCTGGTTTATGGCCTGGTGCTCTAACCACTAAGCTTTTGAGACAACCCATCCTTTGAACAATTTTCACAGGCTATATATCGCCTATTATATACAGCATCTGGGGTTAAACCTGAAGATGCTAGTTTGAATCCCGGTTACGGTGACTAATTCTTTGAAGAAATTTAATTATAAGAAAACTATGATCAATTTCATGTATTTCACTGTTTCTTTTTTGGGGGGGGTCCTTCTTCCACACTGCACCATTCTCTGGTGTGTAGCCTCCCCTTGAAACTCTGGGACATTAGATTTGTGTTTGTCTTTCATCTAACACCACGTACAAACACTCCCTTCTGGATCACAAGATTTTCATCTCGTACACATTCATTAACATAACACATCTGAAATTGGCATCATATTGTTTACGTCCTCGACATGTGGACTTGAAAATCTCTGATCCACTGTTTTGTAAGTAGCATGAGAGAGAGTGGCAAGCTTCCAAATCCATTATGTTTATTATTATTGAAATCTTTTCCATTACGGAAAATGTGTAGAAGTGCCAACTGTAACCGCATTAACTTATTTTGTTCACCTTATCAATTTAAAAAAACTTATAAAACCTGTTACTAAATGATTTTCAATAATACTGTAATGTAAATGATATTTAATAATTGGGCGATTGCCTGTAATTATATGTATATAAATAAATAAATCTGAGAAGTTTTTGCTAAGAATATATTTTTTTTATCATTCTCTCTCTGTGGCCTTACGTAAAATGCATACTTCTACCATTGTAATCTTTTTAATTTCTATCTTCTGAAAAATGCAGATTCGCACTTGTCCGGCATTGAGCTGGGAGTTTGTGTGGGCTTGTCAATCAGTGCATCATGTAACAAAATTTCAACAATGATTTTTAAACAATTTGACGTTGCGTTTCACTTACTGCAATGCACTTTATTTGATATTCTTTTTCAGGCTAATCTTCAAATGAATATTCGTGTGATAAAGGTTCGTGTGAATCGCCCAGCAAAGCCTGGCATATGAATCACACTGCAAATTTGGAGTGGATGCCAACAATACTTCTGCGAATATAGTTAGGAAATACAGATATGTGTGATACGTCAGTTATTGCTGAAATATTAATTTCTTGTTCCTTAATATCATCATAATTATGGCTTTTGTCACTACCATCACGTGTATCAAGGTTTCTTTCTTTTTGGTCCTCCCTCCATGGTGTGACTTTTTCTGACTTTTTTGGCCCTCTTGATAGTTTAGTGGACTAAAGTTCGCGTTGATTGTAGTCTTTCATCAGATACCATCTAAGAACATTCCCTTCTGTCGCCAGATTATCTAGACGTCCCACACTTGTTAATGACCTCTCTGTGTTCAAAACGCAGATTCGTATTTGCCGCTTGTCAAACCGGGATTCCGCACGGCCTCATCGAACCCGCATTGTGTAACAAACTCCCGGCATTCATTTTCTTGTTAAGTATCATTTGATACAATGTCATTCGGTTAGAGATTCTCTTCATTCAAAAATATCAGTCTGAATTGCCTTACAAATTCTTGGTGGATGCCAAGAATACGAACAGGAATATAATTATTGTATTGTTACGTGCAATATTTTTAGTTTTCTCAGTTTATTGTTACTATGTCAAGATTTACAAATTTCGTGACATGGAATGGCAATGTAAAAACTTAAATGCTAATCGACTCGGCTTAATTTGTGAAAATAAGATGACCTCTCATTTTTCGATGGAAATATATCAAAGAAACTAGTTTTATATTCGGGTAGATATGGTAATGGCGCTCAAAAAATTAATTATGAGGAACACCTTTTTCTTTTGTCAGAGGTGTGAGTTGTATTAGAAAATTCAAAACAAAAGTAAAAAAATATTATTTTGGTTCACTTTCATGGTTTAATTTTACTTCATTTTGCTTAGGGTAGATCCTTCCTCCAGTGTTATCCCTTTCTGTCTTTAAAATATTGTGGGAAAAAGAACTTGAAGTTTGAAGAAGAAATTTGTGTTGGTATTTGGTATTTAAAAAAAAAATTAATTTCTATTTTACTTCTTCGGGAAAAATATGCATCTTTTTTCTCGTTAATCATTAGTTACCATCACAGAAATTTAGCAAGCTTTATAAAAATTATGTACCTTAATTTTCTATTTAACGAAAAAGGTTTCATTGAAACAATGTAGATTGAATTATATAAGAATTGTCACAATAATTTATGAGTTCATGGCCAATGTTTAGAGAATCGATTGTAAATGTATAAGCACATAATACATTGAAATCATTCTCTAATATTCACATTCTGCATTTGAACGAATTGTAGCCCATTGTTATTATTTATAACATCACTATGTCTGTGAATACTGCTTGTGTGAAGTGAATGTCATTTTACAGAAGTTTCATAAAATATTCTCAATTGATAATTTTTGTTTGTATCATGTATATTTCTTTCGATTAAGCTATCATTAAGGGACCCTTTCTAAGTAGCTTCTCACTCTGTGAAGTGTCTGCAGCTCTCTTTTGACAATGTGCATTTAACTGTTGGTGGTGCAATTATACAATTTTTTTTTATAATCTACCTGTAGTTGTATTCTGTGGCTGCAATAGGAGCTCTGGCTACTAATCAAAATTTAAAAGATTCTCTGGAATATTCAAAATACCTCCAAGTGGTAACCTTTAAATTGCAAATAGAAAACGAAAGAAACTGTCAGAATATTGCAATAACTCTCTCTTTTCATAAAGTTTTAGTGGGAAAAATATCAATGAAAGAAAATGCATTTATTTATCTTGAAACCTCCAGTAAAATTTAGAATTTTAGGGATAATGTTTAATTCATATTCTGGAATTCAAGTCCAAACACACTAACATTGAAACAAATTTTTGATCTATTAATACACTTATGATCAGGAAAAATTAATGTGGTAATTTTCTCGCCACGTAAAATAAGGCAAATTCAATTCAATTCAATTCAATTCAATGTATTTGAATGAATTTGTAATAATTTCACCAATGACGATTGTTGGATCCAGGAAAGCTTAAAAGTTGTTCTTACTGTTGACATCTTCATTGTGAAACCTGACTATAATTACAGATCCCTGGTACAACCATGGTTGCAATTAGGCCAAATACAGAATTGTTCATTTTTGATCTGTAGTTTTAAAATTATTATTGTAACATTCATACATTATGTCTATAAAATATTATGAAGAAAAGTTCTGTACTATATATTTTTTTTATTGTTAATGCTTTGAGATAATCAGATATTTCATTGTGTACATAATTTATAAAATGTTCATAATTCAGTTCACAATTCAGTTGTTAAACACACTATTCATTAGTAATGTTACCAATTTGCCTGATATATATACGTTATATTTTTGTGGCAAAGTCTGCGTAAGTTGATACTATTACCTTTACTTTTTATCGCTGTTGTTTGCGACTAATTGGTAATATAATAATTCTGTGTTGTAGGTTCATTAAACTTCGTAAGCTCCCTATAGCAAGCAGGTACTTAAATTTTCACTCAATGTCTGCTGTACCTTCATTTGTCTATCTCCCCTCCTGCTGCTGAATGGAATGAATTTGATTCTGCACAACTTGAAGTCTTTGCTTAGAAACTTGTTAAAATGTGCTTACTTTACTGTTCCTTACAAACTTTAATATATATAAATAAAAAGGAAATAATACATAATTTTATGTAACTTCTTAATTCATAACTGGTAGTTCTAGAACAATACTTGCATGAATTTGCAAAAGCGTTTCCAACCAGCACACATTTTGTCTCCATACAAGGATTTGAA